AAACTCGCAATGAAACGAAACAATAATATTAGATTGGAAAAAGATATCGCTCCCTTAATTTCAAAGGTGACACCAATTCAATAAACATAATGTTCGAGTTATTATCAACCTAAATGAGTTAAGTAAACATCAGTCTATCGATCAAAAGTAGACTAACTTAGCTTCATACAAAATCGTCAAAATCATTATCACTAAAAAAGAGTGATTTTGTAAAAGTTGTGAAACAAAAATGATAAAAATAACATTTGATCATGTTAGAAATATATTCGTTTTACTAATATTGTTTATTATTAAAATTAGTAGTTAAAATAGTTCCTTTTTTTTTTAGAAATTCAACTTATTTTGTTGTCACGTTTGAAATAAAGGAACAATATTATTTCGTTACATGCACTAGCTATGACGTTAACTATGCGAATCTAACTACGCGCACATAACGCGCTTGACGTTATTTCCCGAGACTTCTTTCGCGGATCACCAACGAGGTGCATAATCGAGTGTGGCAAAGAAATTCGCGAGAGAGAAGAGAGATGGAGAACGGCGCGACTTTCTGATGAGCGGTTGCCGATTGCGCCTTGGCCTTCTAACGAAGACGCTTGTTACCGTCGTTATCGCCTCTTCCGCATGTTGCAAAACTGGTGTTCAACAACAGCCTTCTTGTTTCGTGTTGTCCGCGCCGAGCTTTCGCGGAATCTAGCGAGAGAGCAAACCACCTCGGTGTGTACCGATTGACTAGCTCGTCGCGCGCCGATTTCTCAACGTGAAATCGCCTCAATGTCACTAGTCCCGTACTTTCTATCGGTGACCTACGTGTCAATCACGTTATCGTGTCGCACCTTCTGTGTGTACCACAAGATTCCTAGCGAAACGAAGTCAAGCGCTAGTGCATAAAACGTTACCAGCAACCGTTAATTTCATCTAACCGCCGCCAATTTCGTATCTCGAGTCCATTTCCACCTTTGCAACCTTCAAATCCGCGTCATCACGATTTCTAGACATCCTTCTCTTTTCTTAGCAAAGGATTGGTCTGGGAGTGGCCGCTCGTTCCACGGATAAGATAAGACCGGTCTTCTCTACTCGACGCGATCATGGCGCGTTGATTCTCCTCTTCGTCCCCCAGGTGCCATAAACTTCGACCGTAAAATGAAGCGCGTTCCTCACTTTGTCGCCAGGTTTTATGGAAGGATCGGAACAGCCGGCCGCGAAACGAACGACTACTTCCTAATAAGGAGTTCGTCTACGTCGGTTTTAACAGTTTCAAAGCATCGACGAAACGATTGCTCTTTTGTCGGCCGTCACCCTTTTAATGATCGCGTTTTTTTCACAATTTGCTAGGAACGTTTGCGCGAAATCTGCTTTACCAGAACAAGTGATCGTAAAGTGGTAGCCGGTCTTTGTCTCTGAATACTCGTTTTACGTCAATTTTCGACTCGATCTGCTAATCTGATTGGGCATTCCTCGGCAAATATCACGTCATGCCGAATGAAATAAACTGGTTATTGGAAGGTTAATTCGCTTAATAGTCCATTCATGAGTCGAAAACTGCGACTGCACACGAAGAATAGTTTTGCCAGAAGAATCTAGAAATTTAGCTAATACAGATTTGAAAATAATTTTGTAGGACTATCAAAATAATTATGTAGAACGTTTAAGCTTGATGATAATGCAACAAAAAGTTTTAATATTCTAGTAATCAGCTTGAATGTTCTATGTAATTATTTTAATAGGCCAAACGAAATTAGTTTCAGAGATCTGTATCTACAGCTACATTTTTAGATATATGATTGAAACCGTTCTTTTCGTGTGAGCAGCAAAAATTCGACCCTGATAATTCTTTCAAGTATATATTTTATATATGATGGAAATCTTTCATAAAAAGTTTACATTAATCAATATGTCGATTAATAGTTCGAATATGATTTACACATTGATATCAGAGCGCAACGATAATATTTAATCCTAATTACTAAAGCACTATTTATAATACAAAAATTTCGCTATCGCTTTGTTTGCTATATCGGTAAAAGCCGATCGGTCAACAGAATTGATCTAATCAAAATCTAAACTCAAAACGGAGATTGCCACTTCGTTTTGCTCCGTCTTGGATCCGGGCCGGATTAGTGGAACAGGTGTTGCAAAATGGTAGCACAGATCGCCGGTGCATGTCAATGCGTGCCCGCGAGATTCCTCTTTCTCTCTTGGGTACAGCCCGAAACGAACCGCACCTGTGCCGACGATCGCCGGCCCGTTCAACTTTAATCTGATAATCTGATTGGCTGCCGTGTGTCAAATATTGCGGGCCTGAGTGTCAGGCCGCGTTCTTCTGCGCGAACTGGTTCTACGGCGGCTGGACGCGTGGCCGATTGGAAGTCGAGTTCTGAAGTCGGTCGATCGACCAGCCGATCGCGCCGATGCCGGAAGAACAACTTTGAATGCGCGGTATCTGAGACGGTGCTCGTTGTTTCGTGTCATATATAAGGTATCTCGAATATGCGTTTCATTGTATGTTTTACATTTTATACTCGGGTCTTAAAAAGTACTGCAGATTTTTTAATCGACATTGCGTGGAATGGAAATATTGTATACGAATGTCCTG